AAAATAGTGTGCAACTTCAAGACAACATTAGATATATACACACACAACAGCGTAAAAACAACATAGAGCTATAACAAAGAGATGGCGGGTAAGTTTATATATTTACTTTTTATTTATGCCAAAATGTCATCATCGCCAGACCAAGCGAACTCCTTCTGTTGAGGTGTCATGGCCACGTCATTTGGAAACTTTGTGATCCCCGGAGCTGTCGAGGTCGGGGGAGTGTTAACCTGACACCACTCCGATTGTTGAGGATTCATCCTCTGGGGGGGGGGCGCAGTCAGAGGGGTGAACGGCTTTGTGTTGAGGAGGCGAAGAGGGTGGAGGGGGAGAACCAGTTGGTGTCTCTAGGATAGGTGGTGATGATGTGGTCATAACCACACAGTCGTCCCCAGGCGACACCAAGTGTCTGTCGAACAAGGCGGGTTTTCCTCTGGTTGTATAGGAGAACCTGCCTGTTTGATTAAAAAAAAAATATCCTTAAAGTCCTCTTTTGTTAAGAGGGCGTCCATGGCCATTTTCAACTGATCCCGCACTTACCCTTCAAAGGTGTTGGCCATGAGGCATGAGTGCCCCAACTGGTTCGCCTCCTCGTGAAGGCAACCGAGGCAAAACCGGTATTTTTTCATGTAGCCTCAGCTTGCGGGTGATTGATTTGCGTGAAGGCTTGTCTACAAGAGAATATAAACAAAAGATAAACATTATAAAATAGAATCATACTAAGACAAGACAACACTAACAGCGATGGATCCTATGTGTAGGGGTGTGCCGGATCCGTTTTTTCCAACCGGATCCGGATTTTCTTATGCGAAATCCGCCGGATCCGGATTCCGGAATAATCCGGATTCCGGAATAATCCGGATTCCGGTTTCTCCCGGATTCCGGATTTTGGTACTATTGGTAGATACTTCGGTAAGTCAAGGTGGACTACTACTTTTTGTGTATGGGAATTCGCAATCGGCGCCAAAAAATCCGAGTTTTTAATTTTCCGATGTGTGTGTCTATTTATTATTAAATTAGTACTTTCGATATATATTTGAGTTCCGTTCCATTTGGATAAGTGTCTTACGAGAGACGCCATGTTTCTACGCGTTCGCAGCAGGTTATGCAGCTCGCTCAACCTAATTTCGCCATGGGGTTGGCCACGCCCCCCTTTTTAATGGCGGAAGTTGACGATACTTAGGAAATATTAATTTATTATCACTATTTACATCAAAATAATTGATAACTTGTGTTTCAGAATGCATTTAAAGACATTTAAACTGGAATGTTTTAATTTGAGCTTTAACAACCCGGTAGAATCCATATTATAAATGATCAGAATTTACCGTGTGCAACACGTTGTCATTGGCAACCATTCACAGCCACTTGCATAACTGTATCGTAGTACTACCTCAGAGTTTCATTCATAAGAGTTTGCCGTGTGCAAAAACTATTAAACCATTGGTCAGGGAAAGCTTTAATTAATTATTCATGTGCCAAAGTTGAAAGTTTAAACTAAGTCTAAACAGTATTTTAGTGATAAGGCAGGGAATGCGTTGCCTTATATAAACTATATAGTCATTGCGCATGACGGGATTGGCGGAATGAGATCACAGAATGTGGAGATGCAGTCCATGTTAAAAAATGACAAACCAAGTCGTACTTTAAAAATTCATAACTTTAAAACTACAACAGCTAAAAATATGATTTTGGTGTTATAATTCATTAAAAAATTACCTCTTTTCAACTATGCCATTGGTTTATTTTTACAAAAAGTTTAAATTTTCTTATCAAAGTCCCTACTATTGGCCACTATTAGCGGTGCTGACTCTAGCCTCTGGTATGTTCGGAATATTAAACATTAAACAAGCTCAACGCTCGAAACAATCGATTAATGTATCGTGATCGTGTGGAATTCGGGAAAGAGAATTACTTTTATTTCAGGTTATGATCCGGTGAGTCACAAAATCTGGCAAATTCCGAAATCCGGTATATTCCGGATTCCGGTTGTTCCGGATACATGTAAATCCGGCGGAACCGGATTTCACCGGATAGTGCAAAATCCGGCGGATCCGGATTCCGGCACACCCCTACCTATGTGGAAACATCCCTTTAAGGCTCTTATCGCCGGTCCAACGGGTAGCGGTATAACGGTGTTTGAAAACGAGAGGTTGGCGCAACTACCAGAAATGATCGCCTCCAATCCAAAGAGATTATATGGTGTTATGGGGAATGGAAACCGATATACGAGACAATGAAAGAGGTTCAATTTGTAGAAGGACTTCCTGACTTTGAACAATGGTCAGTCGGTGACAGGAAAAGGCGTCGACTCGTTGTCATAGACGACTTGATGGCCGAAACAGACGACAGTATCACAAAATTGTTTACTAAAGGCAATCACCACCGCGACAGCAGTGTTATGTTGGCATCCGTCCGTCACAACGTGAAGATGGAGTGGGCTTCGGAGGACGAAATCTACATAGCCTGGGATTATTCTTAAAGGATTATAAGCTGGTTCCCAACAGCAAATCGCCTCTCTCCACGCCGCTGGATAACCCAAGGGAACATCATTGGATGATACAGCTTGGCACCAGTGACGTCGCAGGAGTTGTGTACATTGTCCAAAACCTATTCGGAAAAAATAAAGAACAAAGAACAATATTATTTATGTCTCAATTCATATTACATAGTTCTGTTCAAAAACCCCCGGGACGGATCGTTGAATACGCATTTGACCAAACAAATCTATACCGGTCGCGTTTCAAATGTCCATGAAAGTTTTAAAGATGCGACAGCGTCCCCTCATGGTTATTTGTTACTCGACCTTCGTCAGGAAACACCAGGTCAACTGAGATTACGTAGCTGTATATTTCCTGACGAATATCAAGTTGTGCACGTCCCCAAATAAACCAATCATGTGAAGCGACATTGAGACATGTTATGCTTCTTGTGTCGCGCAAATCCACCTCTCGCAAAGGTGGTTGTGAAAACATGCGTCCCTTCAACTCATCCAAACTCTATGCGAATGTTGTCACAATGTGTTAAAAGGTAATGTTACACCAGCTCAGAAGACACGTTTGCGCCGTCACAAAGCAACTCTAAGAAAACTCACCAAAAAGAAGTTATCGGTCAAAAGACGTAAGCAGATCCTGCAAAAAGGTGGTTTCATCGGAGCCTTACTGGGGCCTATCGTAAACGTCCTTAAAGGAATCTTGGGTTTTCAACAATGACCAAGAAAATGATTTTGATCGACCCACGTGTACTTGAGGCTATGACTCAAAAACCGTATGTACCACCCGATGCGTTAAACGATAGCTTACGTGAATTGGATATGCAAATGCAAAACATCCTAAACAGTGAAGATTTGTCACCGCGGGACAAAGTAAAACAATATCAACAAACACTACAACTCTATACGAATCGACTCGCAGAGTACAAACACAGACCTTTAGGGTTAGTCGACATGACGTTGACATCAATTACAAATATACAAATGGCGACCGACCAACACGATAATCTTAAAGTTAAAAACGAAGACGCGCCCGAAATCCATGATTCGCCTAATACAAAAAGACAACCTCTCTACTAAAAGTCCTTTAGACATCTCACCACCACCAGCTAAATGGACCAGACGTAAGAAGAGTAAATTACCAGCTCCTGTCAAGTGGGACGGATGGACTCGAAGCAAACAATAAAAAACCTTTACTATGACCCAAGTGGACCTGGGGCGTACGGGGGCGCAGTGAGCTTAGAATATAACCTGGCCAAAAAATGGAACTAAAGAAATTACATGAACCGATTTGTCGACGTTGTCAAAGACTTTCCATCCTAACAGGAGGTATAAACCAACAGTTTCAAGCTGACCTCATAGATATGCAGCGTTCCGAAAAGTTAATAACGGGATATCGTCTTGGTCCACAAGCGCGTGACAGGCAGCGGTGAAATCGCTCTACATTTTCACATTTTTGGAATGTTTCTCTCAAGTTTTATTCCTGATAGTTGGATATAGTTGTTGTATCCTTCTTCTTCTATATATTAAGGGCCCACGATCAATTTATTGATCATTTTGGCTCCTATGCACGTAGAGGGGATTTGCAATGTTCCTTGAAATGGATATAATTTATTTCGAACATAACTAAGAACTGGTGGACGTATTCTGCGTTTTCCATTCTATAAATTAATTAATATAAACAAAAACACTCAACGCTATTTAAATACTTCTGGTTCACGAGTCGCTTAACAAGAAGCAGTGAAATCTCTCCACACTTTCTCATTTTTGGAATGTTTTTCTCAAATTTTTATTCCTGGATGGTTGGATAATGTTTAGTAGGAACTGATTTATAAACATGTATCCAGAACCTGCGGTCTTCAAAACAGTCTTTACTGAAAATTCCCAGTTTGGATGAACACAGAAAAAAAGTCTTAGGAAGTGCACTCTTTAAAAAAAGGCTTTTGAAGCGATCCCGCCTAAATTCTGGAATAGTTTGCCTCAACCTTTAAGGCGATTAGAAAATGATGAACAATCATTTAAGAAACATTTAAAGACTTTTTTGTTTAAATAGATTTAAGAACACCAGAGCGCATCAGTGGCATTGGCATCAAATTTCTTTCAACTTCCCCTTAAAAAACAGATTTCTGGGGTTGGGGCTAAAAATTTGAAAGAATGTGTTGTCATCAGCAACGAGTCTATATGTCAAGTTTCAGCTCAATAGGTTGAAGGGAAGTGGGTCAATTAGTCATCCAAAGATTTTGCTCACCAGAAACACATGAACACAAGTGAATTTAATATAAAGGATTTCAAAATTAATTTTTTTTTCACCCATAGCCATGTGTATAACAACTTTCTACATGCTGAGTTTCAACAAGTCCTAAATAGACATGTTTCATGGAAATTAGTTCTTAAATTTAAACTGTTTGGGATAAGATATTTCTTAAATTTCACAAACTTAACGTTCTACTAAATAATTATACAGCAACGAGACAGTGCATCATTGAGATCAACAAGAAAAAGCTTGAAGATCGGTTAAAACGTTTTAATATTCAATAAAATACATGGCTTATTTTGAGACTATCAAAAAAATTGTTAGATTCCTGCAAGGCAATTGGGCAAATACTTTGGCCTCATGGAATTCAGTATTAAGAATTATTCCTTTTATCACAGAACCAGCTCATAATACATACACTATTTAATTATGACACAGACCCAGCACATAATACATGTATTATTTAATCATGCAATGATAATCATTACCTTATTTTGAAAAAAAATAAATACATTTTACAATGCAATTCCTTTTGTTAAAGTTTAATGTTTTTCAAAATGTTAAATGATGAGATAGCTTGGCAAGGACTATATCTTTCATATATTTTAATCTATAGGAAGGTAAAGGATAAATGATACATTTTTGTCAACTTTTACAAATTGATTTGAGATTTTAAAATAAAAAAAAATTAATATTTGAATTGTGACAACTCTTTGGGCGGCTAAATCTGACAAGCTTTGGACGGATGTCAAAAACAAAAATAAAAGTATTTATTCATGTATCACAGTTGGTTGCAAACAAAGCAATATGTTAGAACAACTAGGAATCTGCGCTCAGTATAAAGATCATTATTTAAATATTTAAGAGAACCATTACATGAAATAATTTAAGTACATCACACATTGTCACTGGAGAATAAACCTTGTACAAATTATAGCGACAGTGGCAGGCACTAGGCTCTGTGGCGTAAGCACTGTCTTAGAGGCCACTGCAGAGGCCCAAACAAAGGAACTCACTTCACCTCTAAAAAGTGCTGCTTTTAGCCATAAGTAGCTGTTTATCGTGCCGATACAATCTAAGCACAGCATTTATTTGAACAAAGTGTTAGGTTATTTACAGCTTGAAAGGTACATTCTCTTAAAAGTGAGATATAAATCTTTACGGGTATGCTGTACATTAACTGTGTTTTTTTTCACTTTTTGCTCAAATATCAGCATGCACAAGCAATAACGGTAAACTTCTAAGTTATTTAAAATGATTATAATATAAAGATTTGCTTCACTGGGCATTATTGCCAACAACAATCTCTTGTAACTTTTGATAAGTTATGTAAGGGGGCTGCAGCTGTACACGTACTGTTCAGGGAGGAAGTGGAGTTATTTTACAATGTCCAATGGAGTGGTCATCTCATGTAGTGTATAGTCACTGAATTATACTGAGAAAGACAATTTGAAGGGTGATCACTCAAGTGGAATATATTATTCATGAGGAAAAGACAAACCATAGAAGAGAATATGCTCTTTTTCCATTAACAATACATTTATTGGGCATATTTCTACCAAATAACTTAGTTTGCAATCAAATTTTCAATACTGTATTGTCATCTCTCTTGATACCTAAAACATTCTTTTTTTCATCAAAAATTTTATCTGTTGTCAGAGTAGGGCTGGTCGGTTGCCACAGACTTTGTTCAGCTCATGAACATCAGTTAGGCTGCTTCTGTATTGTCCATTTTATTTTGGTTGCTTCATTTCTTCCATAGAAATAGCATTTGAAAATGGTCCAATTAAAAAATAAAATAACAGTAATATTAAGCTAATTTCTATTTCAGTATCTGAATTTGGAATCTGATTGTAGTAATAGATACTTTTAAATAGAGACTCCTGCCAGAAGAAAGAAAGTATAATGTCTGTGAAAGTTGAACTAATTTTTTCTTTAAATAACTTTTTCAACTCTCAGTATCATGTTTTAGAATTTACTTGAAAAATAAAACAGCTCTGTTTGTTTACACTATATAAACATTTGCACTGAGTTCCAAGGCCCTTACAACTGATCCGAGGCGTCATTATTAGTATTACCCCCAAGTGCCAGTTACACTATAATATGCTTTTTCAAACAAAATAAAAAGTTCTTTTCATGCAATAAATTGGACAGCATATTCACAGTTTCACGCAGACAATTAATGACACGATATAATCTGGCTAGTTGGTATGCATAGTGGTATCCTTAATTATTGAATTCAGGGCTGTCACTTTGGCCTTGAGCTTTGACCTCAATTTGTTATATTTCCTTGTCATGAAATCATCAAGCTCCTTCTCACGCTTTTCTCTGGGGAAAAGAAAGTGTTTATTTTTAACTTTAAAAAGTAATACCGGTAATGTCCCGGTCAATATTTACTTTATATTTAAAAGACGAATGACAAAACAGATATATCTGTTTTTTTTAAAAATAATATAAACTAACTCCCTAAAAACCAAGAAGCTAAAAATTTTACTAAACAAGCAATTACCTGGCAATAGGTCCATTAGGTCCAACTGGCATGTTTGTTAGTGGTATACGATTACCAATGGGGAAGAAATCCCTGAAATTAAAATAGCATATTTAAAAAGTTAAAGTTTTGTTTTTGAATAAAAACATATAGCAGAGCCAAGACACCTTTTTTCACATCATTTGGCCATATAGTTTTTTCAAAGTCATCATTTAGAATTACATTAGCTAATTTAACTGTGAGTAGCAGTAAACTAAAGCACATTTTTTATAAATGAGATGAAATTAATAAATGGTGTTACATAAATAACAAATTTACTTATTAATAAAAAATATATGTATACCTTAACACAATGAGATAAAATACAGTAAAACTCCAAAACAACATTTAAAAAAAAATATAAATTAAAAATCACTACTCCTAGCATGAGATATCAACCTCTTTCAAATCACAACCAATATAACGAGTTCCTGTGTGATTATTTCAAATGAAACAGTGGTTGCAAATTTTAACTTTGATGACCTTTGAAAACTTCATTCGACAAAAACTTTGTTACATAAGATTGAAGCTATAAAATGTATTGACATTTCAAGTTACAACCATTAAAAGGTTTTATTTTATTGTGTAGGCCAAACCACTCCATCATATTGTAGGGGTGTTAGATGCACATGAAAGAAGAGAAATTTTCAGCACCATTTGAAAGTTATACTTTACACTATTTTTGAACATTTGAGTACCTTGTTAATAAATAATTTAGATTTTAAGTATTCATTTATCAATTTTCCTTTCGAAATATCAGTTATCAAAAGTGAAAAAAGTCATGAAGATAATAAATTGTGACAGAATATTAAAATTCTGTCATGTGATAAAATACCATAAACAAAATTGAGATTTATGGTGGGCAAAACTCAATCAATATTCATTTAAAACTTACTTCAAGTCCTGCAACTCATCAACATTTCTGAAAATTTAAACCACTTCAACAATGACTTACATTACAGGACCACAAAAAAATTTTATAACAGACAAAAATTTGAGTCTGTGAAATGTTAATTATATTGATATATTACTTGGTTACAGTACTCAACTGGTCAACTGGAATTCAGCAAACTGAACAACATAAAAATGTACTTTGACACTAATTACCTGAAAAGATTAAATGACAATTTTGACCAGTTTTCACAAGTGTAAGTAAAATAAAAATTAAATATTAATTAGTTTTTCAACAAGCGTTACAGTTAACTTACGATTTTGTTTCATCTTTGACATTTGTATCAATGAACGCAAATTTGGCATTAACCATGGCAGGAGTCAGGGTGGCAGCATCACCATCAATGACATCACTGAAATATTAAGGTAATTTTACAGTAAGCTTGAGACAAATTTTTGTGTATTTCAGAAAGAGCAATATATTTTGTGTTTTACCTGTTGAAAAAAAACACAGTAATTTATCTAGTTAAGAAACATATTCGATTGTTTTGGGGATAACAAATCATTTTGTTACAATGTTCTTAATCTTAAATATTAGCTTCGTCAAAAAATAAATAAATTAGCTAAAAGGAGTTCATTAATTCTTTTTCCTAAATGTAATAGACCAAAAATAAACCTACTCCTCGACACAATTTTCAGCATCATTTGCTTCCAACTGTGTCTGTAACAGTGGCGTATCAGTGGGCATAAGGTCTTTATTAAAACATTCATCCCTAAAAAAAACAAGAAATCTAAAGTCAATTAATTATATATAATTAATTTTTAATATCTTTATAATGAAATAATTTATTAAATATTTTTATAGGCTTAGAGTTTGAAAAGAACACACCTAATTCAATAAATCAAAATGAATCTACTATCTACAAAATGAAATAGATTTTCATTGACCAAAAATTTGAGTACATGATTTTTAAGCAAATCTTTGAAAGATTTCTTAACAATTTTTATTGAAGATTTAATTAACATGCAATTAATTACAGAATATACGAATGCAAATCACAACAGTGAACATTAGATGCAACAATGAACAAATAGATAATTACTGACCATCTTGGCACCCAGACATTTGTTAGAGTGACTGTGTTAGATAATGAGGTAAGACCAGGGGATGGAAACTTCTTCCAGTTCATGAGACCACGAATTGTATCCTGCCATTTAGAAAGATTATCAAAACCATTCTAGAAATTTTTTATAGGACAGCAAAGTTACTTTATGGACAAGATGCTTAAGGGATCGTAACCCAAAAAACTGGACTAATTAAAAATAATAATTTTGTATGAGTTTCTTAAAATTTTTTACAAAATTATAGTTATAGTGAAGTTGAAAAATGTGACTGACCTCCCTGTCCAAAAACTTCTTCTGTGTGACACCAGCTTTAGTAGAACTGGTTGGAGTATATGGATATCTGGGTACAGGACACAAGTGATAATCATAATCCACTTCTGCATATGGAATCATGGACTGAAAGACTTGTAATCCTGGTGCAGGGTTCTGATGGAGTAGAAATTGTAGCATTTAATTATGTTAAAAATCATAAATGCCGACAAAAGACAAATCAATTATTTCATAATTTGCTTCATGTACAATTACCTTAGAAACTATTGAGAGCAATAATCCTTTGTTTTTGGTTTCCACTATATCTTTAAATATTTGTTGAAATATAAGTTATTGAAGGCATTAAGACAGCGGCCGGCAAACTTTTCAGACTATTAGCTCATTTCATGGGGTGACTATGGCACACTAGGCCAGAAGAAAGTAGGTGTCAATATGGCACATTAGGCCAGAAGAAAGTAGCTGTCAATATGGCACACTAGGCCAGAAGAAAGTAGCTGTCAATATGGCACACTAGGCCAGAAGAAAGTAGCTGTCAATATGGCACACTAGGCCAGAAGAAAGTAGCTGTCAATATGGCACACTAGGCCAGAAGAAAGTAGGTGTCAATATGGCACACTAGGCCAGAAGAAAGTAGCTGTCAATATGGCACACTAGGCCAGAAGAAAGTAGGTGTCAATATGGCACACGTGGCCAGAAGAAAGTAGCTGTCAATATGGCACACTAGGCCAGAAGAAAGTAGGTGTCAACATGGCACATTAGGCCAGAAGAAAGTAGCTGTCAATATGGCACATTAGGCCAGAAGAAAGTAGGTGTCAACATGGCACACTAGGCCAGAAGAAAGTAGGTGTCAACATGGCACATTAGGCCAGAAGAAAGTAGGTGTCAATATGGCACACTAGGCCAGAAGAAAGTAGCTGTCAATATGGCACACTAGGCCAGAAGAAAGTAGGTGTCAACATGGCACATTAGGCCAGAAGAAAGTAGGTGTCAATATGGCACACTAGGCCAGAAGAAAGTAGCTGTCAATATGGCACACTAGGCCAGAAGAAAGTAGGTGTCAACATGGCACATTAGGCCAGAAGAAAGTAGGTGTCAACATGGCACACTAGGCCAGAAGAAAGTAGCTGTCAATATGGCACATTAGGCCAGAAGAAAGTAGGTGTCAATATGGCACACTAGGCCAGAAGAAAGTAGGTGTCAACATGGCACATTAGGCCAGAAGAAAGTAGGTGTCAACATGGCACACTAGGCCAGAAGAAACAAGGTGTCAATATGGCACACTAGGCCAGAAGAAAGTAGGTGTCAACATGGCACATTAGGCCAGAAGAAAGTAGGTGTCAACATGGCACATTAGGCCAGAAGAAAGTAGCTGTCAATATGGCACACTAGGCCAGAAGAAAGTAGGTGTCAACATGGCACACTAGGCCAGAAGAAACAAGGTGTCAATATGGCACACTAGGCCAGATGAAAGTAGGTGTCAATATGGCACACTAGGCCAGAAGAAAGTAGCTGTCAATATGGCACACTAGGCCAGAAGAAAGTAGGTGTCAACATGGCACATTAGGCCAGAAGAAAGTAGCTGTCAATATGGCACACTAGGCCAGAAGAAAGTAGGTGTCAACATGGCACATTAGGCCAGAAGAAAGTAGCTGTCAATATGGCACATTAGGCCAGAAGAAAGTAGCTGTCAATATGGCACATTAGGCCAGAAGAAAGTAGCTGTCAATATGGCACACTAGGCCAGAAGAAAGTAGGTGTCAACATGGCACATTAGGCCAGAAGAAAGTAGGTGTCAATATGGCACATTAGGCCAGAAGAAAGTAGGTGTCAACATGGCACATTAGGCCAGAAGAAAGTAGCTGTCAATATGGCACATTAGGCCAGAAGAAAGTAGGTGTCAACATGGCACATTAGGCCAGAAGAAAGTAGCTGTCAATATGGCACATTAGGCCAGAAGAAAGTAGCTGTCAATATGGCACATTAGGCCAGAAGAAAGTAGGTGTCAACATGGCACATTAGGCCAGAAGAAAGTAGGTGTCAACATGGCACATTAGGCCAGAAGAAAGTAGGTGTCAACATGGCACACTAGGCCAGAAGAAAGTAGGTGTCAATATGGCACATTAGGCCAGAAGAAAGTAGCTGTCAATATGGCACACTAGGCCAGAAGAAAGTAGCTGTCAATATGGCACATTAGGCCAGAAGAAAGTAGGTGTCAATATGGCACATTAGGCCAGAAGAAAGTAGGTGTCAATATGGCACATTAGGCCAGCAGAAAGTAGGTGTCAATATGGCACATTAGGCCAGAAGAAAGTAGCTGTCAATATGGCACATTAGGCCAGAAGAAAGTAGGTGTCAATATGGCACATTAGGCCAGAAGAAAGTAGGTGTCAATATGGCACACTAGGCCAGAAGAAAGTAGGTGTCAACATGGCACATTAGGCCAGAAGAAACAAGGTGTCAATATGTCACACTAGGCCAGAAGAAAGTAGGTGTCAATATGGCACATTAGGCCAGAAGAAACAAGGTGTCAATATGGCACACTAGGCCAGAAGAAAGTAGGTGTCAATATGGCACACTAGGCCAGAAGAAAGTAGGTGTCAATATGGCACACTAGGCCAGAAGAAAGTAGCTGTCAATATGGCACACTAGGCCAGAAGAAAGTAGCTGTCAACATGGCACATTAGGCCAGAAGAAAGTAGGTGTCAATATGGCACATTAGGCCAGAAGAAAGTAGGTGTCAATATGGCACATTAGGCCAGAAGAAAGTAGGTGTCAATATGGCACACTAGGCCAGAAGAAAGTAGCTGTCAACATGGCACATTAGGCCAGAAGAAAGTAGCTGTCAATATGGCACACTAGGCCAGAAGAAACAAGGTGTCAACATGGCACACTAGGCCAGAAGAAAGTAGGTGTCAATATGGCACACTAGGCCAGAAGAAAGTAGGTGTCAATATGGCACACTAGGCCAGAAGAAAGTAGGTGTCAATATGGCACACTAGGCCAGAAGAAAGTAGGTGTCAATATGGCACACTAGGCCAGAAGAAAGTAGGTGTCAATATGGCACACTAGGCCAGAAGAAAGTAGGTGTCAACATGGCACACTAGGCCAGAAGAAAGTAGGTGTCAACATGGCACACTAGGCCAGAAGAAAGTAGGTGTCAATATGGCACACTAGGCCAGAAGAAAGTAGGTGTCAATATGGCACACTAGGCCAGAAGAAAGTAGGTGTCAACATGGCACACTAGGCCAGAAGAAAGTAGGTGTCAACATGGCACACTAGGCCAGAAGAAAGTAGGTGTCAACATGGCACACTAGGCCAGAAGAAAGTAGGTGTCAACATGGCACACTAGGCCAGAAGAAAGTAGGTGTCAACATGGCACACTAGGCCAGAAGAAAGTAGGTGTCAACATGGCACACTAGGCCAGAAGAAAGTAGGTGTCAACATGGCACACTAGGCCAGAAGAAAGTAGGTGTCAACATGGCACACTAGGCCAGAAGAAAGTAGGTGTCAACATGGCACACTAGGCCAGAAGAAAGTAGGTGTCAACATGGCACACTAGGCCAGAAGAAAGTAGGTGTCAACATGGCACACTAGGCCAGAAGAAAGTAGGTGTCAATATGGCACACTAGGCCAGAAGAAAGTAGGTGTCAACATGGCACATTAGGCCAGAAGAAAGTAGGTGTCAACATGGCACACTAGGCCAGAAGAAAGTAGGTGTCAATATGGCACACTAGGCCAGAAGAAAGTAGGTGTCAACATGGCACATTAGGCCAGAAGAAAGTAGGTGTCAACATGGCACACTAGGCCAGAAGAAAGTAGGTGTCAACATGGCACATTAGGCCAGAAGAAAGTAGGTGTCAATATGGCACACTAGGCCAGAAGAAAGTAGCTGTCAATATGGCACACTAGGCCAGAAGAAACAAGGTGTCAATATGTCACACTAGGCCAGAAGAATCAAGGTGTCAATGTGGCACACTAGGCCAGATGAAACATGGTGCCCATGGAAAGGTTGTTGAATTCAAAAATAGGGTACGATCAAAGGGAAACAAAATGTGGCATGTTTATAGAGACATATACAATATCAGGTTCTTATGATGAGGAGGTCGGCAACAGAATGTCATCACGGTGATCATCAGTGAGTTGAGAGCGCAGCTTGTTCTTACAAAACATCTTCTAGGTGAACAGCTGCTGGCACAAATCAGTGCTGTCAAACATTGTGACCACACGATCTAAAAATAAACAGGAGCCACAGTTTGATTTGCAAGCAGAAGTAATGAAGGAGAAAATAAATGGCAACAATTGAATTAGGCCTAATGCTATATTAAAAAAATAGGTTTGCATTAGTCCGGACTGGAATACTAGACCTCTGCCTTAAAGCCTTTGCCTCAACTCGTTGTCGCCACTGAAAGCTAAAACAAATAAAAAGATAATAGTCTGTAACACTCTGTAATATTTTTACCATAATATGAAGACTGGGGTACTCTATTGGTTTAAATAGAGTTTCAGGCGGGGTGAGGGCCAGGGGCTGGGATCTGAGCACTTTCTGACCAGATTTAACTCTTGCGGAATGAAGGTCACTGTCTGGACCCCCAGGTGTACTAGCTACTCTCTGGCATGGATCCTCTTGGTCGAATGGAAGTTTGATAACCTCATCCTTGAGAGAGACATGGAAAAAAAAAAGAGGTAAAAAAATAAAGGCTTGACGAACTAAAACAAGTTCCAGGAATTATGAAGTCAAAAGTAAATTGTAATTGGAGCACTTGTTGGCCCAAAAATGTTTCCAGATGTAGTTTTGTAACTTAGGCACTTTATCATAAACTCCAAGCAGCTAAGAAAAAAAGTACATTTTAAATTTACCTTTAGTTGTTTCCTGTACAATTTATTTTTGTATAATTATTTTAACAATGTTATAAATTAATGGGAAAATGTTTTCTTTGACTTTATTGTGTTTCTACCTCCACCCCCCACTTAATTCCTCCCCAATCTTGTGCAATAATTATCATTTTATTGAGGAGAAATAAGGAAATTTTGCATTTAGAAGAGGTAAGATTTTTTTGCAAGCCATAATTTCTAAGTTTCTGTGCCAAAAAATTTGTATATGCTACTTGAAGGATGTTCAACAGGTTGTTCTTACCTCTGCACCTGTTCGTAGTTTTCGGAAACCTTTCGTAGGGATGTAACCTCGAGAAGCATCTTGCACATTGTGACTTTTGTAACCATAGAGTTGATAAAAATATGGAACCTGGGAAAAAAGTTATTAAGATAAAAGTAATTTATGAAAGGGAATGAACCTCTCAATAGTCATGACATGAATGACTAATCCATGATTTTATTCTGTAAAGAAAAGTTTTCACAGGAAGTAAGTTACTAGTCTGAAGTTAATATGGGAAATGAACTGACCTTCAAATTGAAAAATGGAACTTCTTTCTTCACTATAACCTCAGTGGCATCCACTGGTATATTCCCCAGGGCATCTGGAGCCTTGGTGGACAGAGTGAATTAAATGTTGTAAACAAGTCATGTCAAACTTTCAATTAAGTATGTCAAATTTGTCATGCTCTCAGCATATGCTCCATTGAATTAATTGCACAGGCAAATATGTGATTAAATGCTTGCCTAAATTCAGTTTCAGAGCATTTGACAAGTTTCTTTTCATAACTAGTAATCTTTCAGGAGCCAAATAAAAACATATATATAGAATAACAATGGTATCATGATATATTAAGATACTCTGTTTAATTTATGAAGATTCTAATAAGATGTAAAAAAAAATTTAACATAAATAATCAAGAACAATATCAATGGCTGTCATCGTAACAGCTCTTACCATATCATCTTTGATATTAGGTGCTACATAAGTAGGGAACTTGTATTTTTGAATACGCTCTGCTTTGAATTTCAGATCCAATCCCTCCTGGGGATTGCTTGGACCTAGATCTATTTGATAAAAAAATCTGATTTAAGTTTTTATAATATATAAACCACTTCTATTTCACAGATTTCCTTTTAATAAATATACATTTTAAGTTGTACATATTTATAAATTTGATATTATCTTTTATCTCCCTTCTAAAATTATTTAAATAGCTAAAATCTATGGCAGCCTACATCAAATCTAATCATTAGATTGTCAAAGTGTTTAATTCAAATATTCAAATTAAATCAATTTTGTTACTGGTACACAAACGACTTCTTGGTATAATATGATAAAGTGGGAAAAATTTCCCATTTACTACATTACATTATAAGTTTTTATGTGTGCATAGAAAATGGACAATGTCTTAAAACAAAATATAAAATAAAACTAAATATACTGTCCAAAATGTATTAATATATACAACAGGCATTAACTATGTTTTGTTTCAACTTGGTAACTTACCAGTTGTATCAATAAAACCTTGTGTATTTTTCCTCAGGGTCTTTAAACCGAGTAATTTTTTATCTCCTCGATTTCGGATAATGATCTAAACAATGAAATAATCATTTATAAATATTTGAAAGGAAATAGAGAAATAGTTAATGAAAATGTTAAACTGATCAAATTTAAATTTCTTCTAGATCAGGGGTGCGCAACTATTTTGCGCATAGGGCCACATTGACAAATGTAAAGCTATTGGGGCCACATTAAGAAATGTAAAGCTACTTGGGGGCTGCATTTATATAATGTCACAATAAGTAATTATAAATTATTTATAGGATATAAAATAGGTTAAATAACCAATTATTTCAATTATAATTTACTAATACATTATATTTTATAATATGGACAAAAACTTTTTTTAATTTGTTAAGATCTTCAATTTTTTTACAAATTTAAAAAAAATTATCCATCAATGGCCTTAATTTAGTCACATACTGAATACATTGGCACTACAATTAAGGCTGTGTCTTTGAGTGACTCAACACTCAGTAACTCTTCAGTGAGTTTGAAAGAAGCGTTTATTCCAGGTATAAATATCAATAATTGGACAGTATCATGTACATCGGTACTCTCATCCATTGCAAGAGAGTCCCACAAAGTGTTTACTTCTATCTTGAAGTTTATGCATAAAATTGTCACTTATGTTGTCAACACCTCTGACCACAGTTCTCCTTTTTAAAGTAGTGTTTTCAACTTAGTTTTTTTGTTCCAGACACATACTGTTTGATACATCTAGCAAACATTCTTTGATGAACTCGCCATCAGAAAATTGTTTTAAAATTCTGTCTGACAGCACAAGATTAGGTTCTGATGCAGCACCTTGAATTAAAGACTGTCTAGTGAAAACAGATTGCTGTTTATCCAAATCTGCCACCAGCTCAGGAATTTCCTTTCCCCCTCTACAGTTGTTAAATTTTATCCGAAATCGGAATGTACTATTTGGTAATATCTTTTTAAATTGTACTCCTTGAAGACAGCCACTGACTCACAACGCAACAAGCAAACTGATTTGCTATTAACTTTTAAAAAACAGTGGTTAGTTATCCATTCATTAAAAACATGACATTCATCTTCAATCTTACGTTCTAAGTGACACTCATTGTTTTAATAAATTTCGAACAGAATTTTACAAAACTTAAAAAAAGAAAATGAAACGAGCCAACTTCCGGCTGTATACAAGGAGTAAACTCAAAATAAATTTCAGAAATATATTAAGACAACGACATCAAATAAATTAATTTGAACATTGTAAATAATTATAACAGAAAACAAACTTTTAAATTTTATATTGTCTTGAAAAATAAATAATTTTTTTTCACTGGAGAAATATCTGTTTTTCATAAAATGATTCTTTTTAAACATTTACATTTTGAGAAATATTTCTCTATATTCAGATCGATACATTCGCATTTTAGCATTACATTACCAAGGTAAAGGACTGTTTACAAAAACAGAAATTTAGATAGAAATTTTATTAAAAAATTTTAAAACCATCATAACGGTACATGAAACTCTGTAAAATTTAATCAAATAACTTAAAAACGAGTTAAATTTTTTAAATTTCTATATGCCCTCAAGGGCAGCATAATATCAGGCCCATGGTTTGCCCATCTCTGTTCTAGATATAATAATTTAATGTCCACTTTCCAGCCAAGTTCTTTAGGTCTTTTTTTTTTTTTTTTTTTGCATGCTATATAATTTACATTTTAATTTGTTAATTATAAACTTAGGTTTTCCTTTCCCTCTCATTTCATAACATTTTTAAAAAAAGGCCCAGGTATAGTTAAAAACTTTTTCCCCCCCTCCCCCCCCCCCCCAAACTTTGGAAGGAACCCTTACTTAAACAAAACAACACATGTAACTAAATTTTGCATTTTGATGATCTAGAAGCCATCCATATTTTAGTAAGCAGGTAAGTGTGTGCTGTGGGAAGTGTGTGTTCTGCAGGAAGCATGTGTGCTGTGGGAAATGTGTGTGCTGTGGAAAGTATACATTCTTTGGGAAGTGTGTGTTCTGTGGGAAGTGTGTGTTCTGTAGGAAGTGTGTGTGCTGGGGGTGGGTGGGGAAGGGGTGTGTGTGATATAACTAGCAGGTAAATATGGGATGAGGGGAGGCAATTCAAGAGATTGGTGTGTATGCTAATATGCTGATACATTTCTATTGTAATTGCAATAACAAAATCTATCAAATTGCCTTAGCCACCCCTGGATGTAATGTCTACTTCTATACAAGCCATGTCAGAAGTTAAATACTGATGCGATTCCTTGTTGTTTCGGTTGTATGCTAAAATAACATATCAATTTTATACTAACTTTTGATATAAGCTTATAGACATCAGTTCTGTTTTCTATGATTATTTTAAATGAGTTCAAGAAGGTATATGAAAAGGGAAATATTTGCCTATTTTAATTATTGAAGGCTCCCTATTATAAGATTAAAGTGTCTTACACTTCTGGCTGCCTGCACAAATCTATCAAGAGCTGCATGACGAGTGGCCCACAGATCATTGGAGTAGATGTCAAACATTGCAATTTTTGGTGCCAACTATTGAGAGTAAATTGTTTTCAAATTAATAGAAACATGGAATATGACAAACACGTTTCAGAGGTTTTTTAAAAAAAATTTTGCAAAAACCAAACCATGACAAACATGGAAACATGTACTAGCATCATAAAATAAAGATTAGTCATAGTGACATGTTTATTTTACTCATGAATCCAATTTAACTTTTCCTCAAAGTGTGTCAAAAATTAAATGGTTACTTTTTAATTTAAGAATTTTATTATTTATATGCCTATATTATATCAATAATTTTTTAAATTAAATTTAACAACTTACAGTATCTACATCTCTCACAGTCCTGGCATAAGTGCAAACTGTGTGGGGACGGTTGTACTCTTCTTCTGGTATGGGAACTCCACGCACTTTAAACTAAAAATAATAGAAGGTTACGATATAAACTGTATTATCTTAAAAATAAATCAAATCCATGTATTTACTGAATTGTTCCAATAGATTTCCTACATGGGCTTAGCACCACCACAGGGATGGATGGAATGAATTTGAGTGATATCAAAGAACATTTTGCATGACAATATGGCAATGCTAAAGAAATTCAAAATTTAAAAGAGAGGATCTACTGAAAATATTTGCTAAAAGTACTTTTAAAAGATAATTGCCATGAGAATGATAGCACATAAAAATAAGCTTAATTTGAAGAGCTTTTTAAAAAGTCAATAGTCTCTCATAGGAAGGGAAATAAACCAAATAGTTGTTAATAGCTTGAAATTTAAAAACAACAACTTTTCCTGACCAAACAAAGAAACTGTACTTCTGAAATGAGCAAATCATGTTCTGGTTGTATTTAATCTTTAAGAAATTTGGAACATTTTCCATCTGAAAAACACTGAATGTACTGAGTAATTATTAGAGATACCGTAACTAGTTTCCACCTGACATTATTTACCATGTAGTGATCCAGAGCTTTTTGTCTGTCCTCCAGAACCTTGTATCTCTCTTCCTCCATCATTGGCTGATCTCCAAGTTTAATTTGCCATCTCAGTTGATTTTGCCTTTCTTCATAAACATTTTGTCTCACCAGCTGATCAAAAAGGGCTTCCTGAGAAAATATTAAATGGGAAAGTAACATTTTAGAAAAAGATTACAATTCAATTGCAGCTTATTTAAAATTTCACCAGGCGTTAGGAATAAGATGTAAAAAAAACAACTGTTAGCTGTTCAATAATTCCATTAAAGTAAAGCAAACTAAATGAATACATTCCTGCTTTTAAAATTAAAGTTTTAACAAGACATATTATTAACCCACGAACTGTCCATTGTATCATTCTGTATTCTGCTGGCAATTTAGAGCTTTTTGGGTGCCTTTGAAACTATAGCTAGACCCCATAAAGTATACATTTATTGAAATTAGACTGAGTGGGGAATCATGCTGGCTATTTAAATGATTATTTTATACTCGCTGACCGTGACCTTGGAGTGACCAAGAATAAAGAAAATAATGAAAATTTTTCTTTTCAAGTACCGCAAACTACAATTTTTTGAAGACCTATAATTATAATGTTTATATAACATGATAGCATTTTTATTTATCTTTCAGAAAATGTATTATTTGTATACGTTTTAGTTATTTTATTCTTACTAAATAGCAAGAAACAGATAAAATTTTAAAAGCTGCTATATAAATATTTAATCCATAATATGAAATATAAATAAACATATATAGAACAAGTATAACATAGTTTAAGACAAATCCTGTTGTTGGCGCAATGCCTACTCGTTCTAGGCTTAGATAGTCAGAGTCTGAACTTTCTGACCCACTAGAAAAATAATCAGAATTATCATTGTCTTCGTGTGTGATCTGAAAATCATCTCCCGAATGACTTGAGTCATTAACTAAAAAGTTATCAAAAAGATTCCAAACTGATCTGTAAGCCAGATGGTCCAGCTAAAGCCTCATCCATTTCGTGAAAATCTTCTTACACTAATTTGCTTGATAAAGATCGTTGTAAAAAATAACTTCAAAGTTTTAAAAAAAGGAAACAGAAGAGCGAAAAATGGAAGTTCATTTATTAATAAAAGGAATTAGTTATATTTGGTTTATTTTTATTGGACTGGAACGTATTCTTTCAATTTTATTCTATTTTTATCGGATTTTTTTATCGGCCGATACAGTTTGGGATGGGAAGATCAGCCGATGACAGTTCGTGGGTTAAGAAGCACAAAAAGAAAAATGGACCAGAAAGAACTCACTTTTATCTGCCTGGTCATTGCCTTTGTTTCTTTTTGATCTTGAACATCTTAAATTTAAAAAAAAATCAAAAATTTTATTCAAATAAGAGCAGTGTATTTATGAACTGCATGAGCAGCATATTCTTAGGGTAATTTTTTAAATCACTATAGACTAAATCAAAGAACAAAAGTGTTGCATAAAAACTTTCTTGGTTGGATCCTTGAAGTAACTCACTCAAATTCATCTCATTGACTTTGAGTTTCCCAGGTTCTTGTAAGAGGACTTTAGCCACTGCAGACGGTGAGTTGATGACAGCTGGGAAACGTATCCCATTTTTTTCCAGGGAGAGCTAAGAAGAAAGATTGTCAAGCAGAGGTCAACACATTATATTGAGGATTGAAAAAAAAAAATGTAAATAGAAATAAAAGGAGCACCCCCTCCCCTAGAAAAAAACCCCAACTATCTTGTTATTGTTTCTATTGTCTTACCTGGCTAGGAGCAGAGGCTACTTTTCTTGTGATCCCATTTTTATTCTTGGATTTCCTTTTGATCCTTGACCTTTCAATAGGAGAAACACATTTGGGGTCAAGGACTTCACTGAGCACGCTAGTCAAAGTCTTGGCCCTGAAAAAAGAAACACAGATAAAACTATCAACAGAAAGAGTTATGTCTGAATAATCTAGAGTGTCCTTACTGTTGCATGGTTGAGTTATGATGCTAGATTTCAGTCCTGTCAGTGTAAGAGTTATTTACTCCGCTTGTCACAGCTCCTTGTACAAAATTTAAACACTTCAAGTTTAAAACACAAAGCTCTGACATGAGTCAAAGCCGAGCTGCATAATGTTCAAAAGGAGATTGTTTAACTGTTTTAAACAATGTAAGAGGACACTTGAAGCAATAAATACCATAAGATGCACTGTGATGAGCTTATTTGTACAATTTAATTTTTTTATTTGCTCTGGATGTGCTTCTTGTTCTTAGAATAACATTACGGATATCAAGGAAATGAGCCAAAGAAAGTATGGGAAAACCTGAAAAAAGGACGCAAAAGAACAACGAATGTGTCAGCAAAAAGCCTTCTTCGGCAAGCATACAACAGTAAAAAAATATAAAATTACAATAATCACCAATGTAGTATCTGATAGGACAGCAAGAGTAATATTAAACCCAGATGCAAAAGAAAAATTAAATGGTAGCCATTCATAACAAAATTGATCTAATTTGGTGATTACTATAATTTAAAAAAGCCATCTGATAATTGTCCTACTTGAGCAAGCCGGGCTGTGAGGTGCCGGTGAATGTACAGACGATTCCTTTAAAGTTGAACTGTGAAATGCTCAACTGCACTTTCATTATGGCCGTCTGGAACTCAAATGGAACAAATGTCACAGTGACCTCAGCTTCCCCATTAGCAGGAACGATGCCTGATGGAATCCAAAAAACAACACACTTTTGTTACAAGGGATGTGCAATGGTTGGAGGGGTCAACACTATACATATTTTGTCATTGATTGCAGTAATAGTTTCTTTTATAAATAAGTTTGTTGATTATTTATTTAGCCTTTGCTTATTTATATGAAATGATCTTCAAGGTTAGACATGATAGGATCCTTGAAAAAAATGAAATTAAAAAAGTTAGTTTGTGGTACTATTTATTAAACCGATAATAAAGACACAATAAAACCAAAACCCAATTAGTTGGTTTGTGGTACTATTTATAAGACCAAGAATAAAGAGGCATTAAAACTAAAAGCAACACACAATTATGATATGCCTCACTGTGATTTACAATGCTGTACTTTATTATTTAATTTTATCAGTATTTTATCCCAATCTTAGAGTAATGGGAGTCAAATGGTTTTTTGGTGCAGTTTTACAGTCTTGATGACAAGAGTTCTTCTTCCATAATGGCTGTACAATGCAGACCAGCCATATTTTTTTCACATTGTTTCAGAACTATTATGTGTTGTTTTTAGGATATTTTGAAGAAAAAATTATAAAAAATTAGACATTAGATGCATTCCTTAGTAAGGCAAAGGATATACTTCAGTTATTAAATGGGAAATTTATCAAATTTATCTATATTTAAGACATCTTATCCTAAAAAAAAAATGTGTCCCGTTCCCCCCTTTATTAGTGAATTTGACTTAATTTAATTTATGGTCACTTTTTGGGGGAGATTCAAAGTTATATAGCCAGGTGGCTTCTCTACTTCTGTTAGTATTTCCTCCATAAAATCACACGGCCTTAATTGATATCTGCTCCCTATTTCTGTTGACTTAAAACGTATGACCAAAAAAAAAGAAGAAAATTTCTGCAAGTGTCACTGCAGTTGTTAATAGATTCAACAAAGAAGTGGATGATTGCTCAATGAAATTAAAAACAATGATTATCAAAAAATATGGTCTAAAAATACCTGAAAGAGGCTCTATAGAAAGTGCTGGATGAGCCTGTATGTAATCAAAGCTGAATTCAAAGTCTATAGGCGCCATACTTTTTAATGGGAAACTCTTTGATGACCTTTAGAAAGAATATTAATTTAAAAGATAAATTTAGTAAGCATAAACAGCCTGGTTAAGAAACTGGCAAGCACTACCTGGGGCACTGATGCAAGCCTCCTCAGAACATTACATCTGGGGAGCGTGAGAGGGGTACTGGACTACAGCCTCATGGTACAGGCCTTTGTGAGCATAACGGCTTTAGAGGGTCTGGACCGATTACAGAACCTAGCTCTCAGGTTCGTATGTGGGGCACTGCGTACTACTACACTCCGGGCTGCGGTGGAAATACTGTCAGCCGTAGAACCACTCAGTATCAGGAGAGACAAAGCTATCTTGACGAAAGTGGAGCACTACCATCCAATGGAAAGAACGGAACCCTGTTAAAAGACCCTCCTTTATAGATGCAGTCCAGTCACTAGAGAATAAGCACCCTTTACCAGGAAACAGGGAAAAAATAAGCCTGATCCAGATGAGATCACCGCATGATAGCTGCAAACCTCCAGATATTCTTCTGACCCTGCTAACGGCGGGAGATACTAAGTCAAGCCTCCAAAATGAGCAAATAGAGGCTGCACTTCAGACTATCGAGTCATATTCGGACACTGTGGTAAAAGTCTTCGCAGTCAGCTCCTATCTAGCCAGTGAGAAGCAAGCTGGCTCAAAGCACTCATGCAGTACTCCAAGTGGTACCTCAAACTGAGGAGATTTTGGGGCCAAGTGGGAAAAAATAGCACAGCAGAAGTTGAAACTATCCTAATGGCCCTGAAACAAGTGCGCCGCAAATTGGCGATACATAAAACATTTCCATCCATCATAGTGTTCACCGGCTCACAGTGTGCTCTTGAACTTGAAGCTGTGAGTAGGTGCTCTTTGGACATGAAAATGGCCCAATGCAATCCTTGGACTCATACGAGACATAAAGTACATGAGGCACAGTGGTCCTTCTGTGGATCCCAGGCCCTGCGGGAATTACTCCCAATGATAGAGCTGACTATCTAGCGAGACAAGGCTCTGCCCAACCACAATCTATCAGCCAATAACCCAATTGGGGGGTCAAGGCCTGGCTAAAGGCCCTCTTTTTACAGCCCGAAAACTTTACCGGAACATCACTGGTGGCATCTTAAACGCAATCACCAAAACCTCATTATGCAAATGAGGACTGAGCATTGCTCTACCCATAGCTATCTGAATCGATTACATCCGCTTCAGGGCCTGAGCTGCCACCATTGTAGACAGGCGATGGAGATGGTCGAGCACTTACTAGTCAAGTGTCAGACACTAACGATTGGTATGACTGGGGTGCTCCCAGCTAACATCGTTGATAATCTTATTTCCAACATAGCTCAGCAAATGCAGCTAGGCTGTATTGTTCTTCCCAGGGCCATCAATGAGCAATAGCTCAGTCTCAAAAAGTGAATGAAATATTTCAGTAAGTTTAAAAAATGTATGGATTAGCCAGTATATTTTTGTACATATATTTTTGTTAACAGCCAAAATCCAAATGAGAATTCACTGAATTAAATTGTAACAATTTTATTATTAATTTTATAATTTTGCAGGAATAAATAGAAGTACACTGTTTTCAACTTTCCAGTCAATTTTTAAAAAAATGATCATTCAATAATTACTTTTAACTGAAAAAAAATAAATAAATTCCTTCTTAAATATTACACAATTAAATAACATTTTACCCCTTAATATATATTTTACCTTGATCCCACTGGAATTGGAGAGAAGATATAGTTTCGAGGAAAATCTTTTGTGCTCATTATGGGATAGCCATGAATTGGAACAATCAAATTATCCTCACCCTGGATAAATATTTTGAAAAAGATTATGAAAGGAAAACTTATGCTAAATAATTATTATTTTCTAATACAATTTTTTAAAAAATCTCTTTTTAAAAATGAATCAATATAATATAATTTAATTTAAAACTCTGAGACTTACAATTAGTACCTACTCAACAGATCTTAACAATGCTGAATCAGAAAAACTGTTTGAAAAGTAGAAAGATGCTTGGAGAATTATTGTTTTCCATTTTTCAGATTTGTAATTTAAAAATGAGAAAATACTTACATGACAATGAATGCGAATACAGTCATAATAATAACGCCATTCATCTGGTGTAAATTCTACTGTACATTTCAATGTCATACCAGCAACCATTCTTTCCTTTAATAAAAAAAAATGTATATGAATCAACTATTTGGCTTTAATAAAGTTATTCATTATATTATTTTTAGAAATTTTCACACTCACTCGCTTTCTTTTACTACAATACCTATTACAATTATATCCTGAGTCAACTTACTAAATATGTTGAATGTATGTTGTGTTGCCTTTTAAATTTAAAAAAACAGGATGGATTTGAATTATTTTGCTCTAATGCTTATGCTTTCATAGGAAAATTTAAATCATTCTTTATATGCATTTGTGTTTGCATTTATGTAATTGTACATGATTTATCATATATATATATTATATATATACATAATATATTATATATATATATATATATATATATATATATATATATATATATATATATATATATATATATATCAGAAGCAGTTATGTATATGGGTAACTTCTGGCAAGAACCTGTTTCATGTTTCCTTTATTTGCCCCTTCACAAATACAAAGCACAAAGCAACAGGTACACAATTAATCTCCACACCAAAACAAGCACCCTTTGAAAATCATTAACATTCCTCACCCCATTGAAAAACAGGAAATACAGATTTTTAGAGGTTGGGGGTGAAAATTTTAAAGAATGTCTTGTCATCGGCAATCAGTCTATGTACCAAGTTTCAGCTCGATACGATGATGAGAAGTTAGTCTTCCAAAGATTTTGCCACAGAGAAACACACAAACAAAAGTGAAGATAATATAAAGGATTTAAAAAAATATATAGTGCATTTTGACTTACTTGTTTGGCATATTTGATAGAAAAGTTATCAGTCTGTGGTGGTATAATATGCATTCTAAGCACATCAGTAGATGCATTGAGTAATATAAGTTGTCTGGTCTGCTTTTTACCCACTTCAAAACCTTCAAATAGGATGACTGAAGGCTTAGCTTGAATTGAAGCATTTTGACCCAGTTTGGCATAGATTTCTGGAGTGAAATTTTGGAATTTTATTTCTTCCTCTTCAAAAACCCTCAAAATATCATAAAATTAATTTTTTAAAGTCAATATGCCATAAAACATTATTTTCAGCAATGTTTTTGCCTTATCTACATAATACCAGACTACTCCACCAAATGTGTTGCTTTCCAGCCACTGAGACTTACTTTATTGCTCATCCTGCAAAAAGTCTTATACATCTATATAGAAATTGAAACTAATTTAAAACAAAGTGGATGCGTACATTGGGGCGGTGTACCTAGCGAAACCATCGGCTTTGACCTGCGTAAACCGCGGCGGTGTACCTAGCAAAATCATGGGCTTTGGCCTGGGTACACCGCTGCAAAAATGTACCATTGGCCTGGTTTTAAGATATACTTGTTAGCAAAGATCTTGTGTGGTCAAGTGGTAGAGTGGACGCTTGGCGATATTATCTTTTGAGATCAATTCCCAGTAGGGGATAGAGTTTTTTTTCTTCCCATTTTAATTTAAAATATGTTATATTTAAATTATCATGTTCATTTACAACAGTAGTTTCATGAGAAGTTTTTAAATATTTTGTAGCGATTTAAACAATTTAAGTATATGTTATATTGAGATTATTAAGTGTTTCAACAAGTTGTGCCGGCCTTTGACTTTGAAAATACCAGTAATTTTATCAATAAGACATTAGAAAACAAACTGAAAGTTTCTGAAAGCGCATTTATAGTGTATGTAACATGTATAAGAGAAACATTTTGAATACTAAGTGATATTCTATTGTATTTCAACATTCTTCGTGTAGTTGAATATTTACATTTTACTTTTACGAACACCCAAAGAAAATACCAGTATATAAATATATCATAATTAATGTGCATGGTCGTATTTCAACCATCTTGCTTTCACTATGCCCTATGCAATGGCAAAATTTACACACGATATCAACGGTTCATTCACAACCCTCAGTCTCACAGCAAATCTTTTGAAAACACATCGATTTTAGAAACTATGTAGCGGTAGCAAACTATATAGCAAAGCCATAGGACTGCGTTTACCCTTTTCATTACGGAATTTGTTTCCAGAATGGCATGGCATGTGCTATTCTCAGGGTAAAACATGACGTTTTCTCACAGAAACCATTGCACAATGAGCTATGTCAAAGTTTTTTTATTTGTTATTTTTTGTTAAGAAATCGATCCTTGCCGGGGGGGGGTGGGGTGAGGGTGAGTTATGGGCAGAGGCTTAACCAAAAGGGGGCCTACAAAAATCATGGCTCTGGATGGATAGGGGTTGTCCACAAAGGACGTCAGCACAACAAACTTATCTTTTTGCACCCCCCTTCCGCCGGCATTTTTTACTAATGTGTAATGCCAATGTAAAACTAAATCAATGATATTTAATTATTGTTAAAAGACTTTAAAAAATCACAGCAGTGTTTCGTATTTATCATCATACTGTCGTTTTGTGTTGACACACGCTTGGTATCACAATGTCAATGCCTCGAACAACTTTAACTTCACGACTTCATGATCAATGTATGAGTATGTGATTCTCTTCCCGTAGTGTATTTGTGGCATATTATATCTTGGTGCTAACTAAATAGATATACTGGCTTCCCATTCATTTTCACACCACGCCCCGAGGGATCACATACAATGTTATAATTATAATGCCATCCCCCCCCCCCCAAAAAAAAACAACAAACAACTGGGTGGGGGGGAGAGAATAATTTCAAATTAGCTACCCTTTTTATGCCTATTAAGATTCACTATCATAGGATAAAACTTACAACAATTAATAAATATATTTGTATTTCAATATATAAAGTGGTTAACTTTAAAAATAAATCATGGTTTAATATTACACCCCCAGCCCCCTCCCTTCCAATAAATAAGAAGAAATGCTTTACAAGCACTTTGCCACATAAGCGTGGAATTTACTCATTATCTTCCTCCCAAGGTACTAAACGAATTTTAAATAAATAGTTTTCAGTTTTAACAAGAGTATAACATTAAATCTACACGTACCGGTTAGGCCAAAAAAATAAAGACTCGCAAAGACCATGGTTTTGCTACTTTATTTAAAGCGCTGCGGTGTACGCAGGCCACAGACCATGATTTAGCTAGGTACACCGCCGCGGTGTACGCAGGCCAAAGTCAATAGTTTTGCTAGGTACGCCGACGTGTTGTACGTAGTGCTGGCCTGTCTTTCAGTAATTTCTAGCTACAACCAGTGGCGTTTTGTTACTGGACTAGGCAGCCCCTGAAATTTTAGTTTAGTTTCTTTGAGCAGAATTTCTATGAGACATAACAGAATAAATATTATATTATATAAACAGCATTGGTATTTTTCAGTCTCTGAGGTTTAATTGGCATCATAAGACTCAACGATATTCCCATTATTTTATCACCCAATCACACCCCACCCACCCCCACATTGCAAGTACTCAAGCATTTTGAAAAAGCTTAAGCTTTAATGTCACTACTTTGGGAAAGGACCAGATAAATCCAACCTGGCTCCTCTGTATAATATAATATAGGGACAAACATAACTTTCTATTAAAGTAATTATTTATTTGCTTCTTAGTAAATGTAGTTTGGTGGTTATTTAGATTGTAATTGATATCAGGTGATTATAGTGTACCACTCGAGGTAAGACTGATAGCATGGCCTTGATTTTCTTGTAATTATGAATGCTACTATAAGAAAAATAAAGGATTTAGTAATTTTATTGGTAAATTTGGATTATACTTATATGTTAAAATTGTAAGCTTTTGCCTTTACTCTGTGAGTGCCCTGCTATTTATCACGTTTCAGAAGAGTGCATTTGCTCATAATGGAAGAGCTTTCTGTACCATGCAATTTAAATGGTCCAATTTATTTTGGAATTAAATATATTACATATTATTATTATTAGTGAACAATATTTCATATTTTTATTTATACCAAATGAATAGTAATTTACAAGACAAGTGCCTGGTGAGCAAGACAAATTATTAATAATTCATATTTATTAAGCTTTGAGACTTTATCCTATGGTTCCTTACTTGTTTCCAATAAATGATTTGGAACAATAACTTTTTTCTTCGGTTCGTCTGGCTCTGTCAATACCATATTTTGAAGAAAGAGCGCCTTTTCGTTTATTCCAATTTCAGACATATTTGAATTTGATTCATGAGCGCCTGTTGTAAAGTCGATGGCCACTAAAGAGCCATCGACAGTCCTATCAAGCTGCTCGAAACTTGTAGGCATTTTTATGTACTAAAATGAGCTAGTTACAATATAAACAATCCAAATGTTAATACATTTATATAAGACGGGATTTTTATTAGGCTTATGGCAGAAAGCCGCCATGTTGTTTACAAAAGAAGTAATTTCATCACGTCAGTGCGAGTCCGCATGAGAAGTAAAATTTAATTGTATTACCTTCATGTACATAATATTTTATTTCTTTCTATGAATATATGATGTGCTATATACAAATATTAAAAAATCTATAATTAAAGTAAGACTACAGTTAATTTCTTAAAACGAGTGCGTATAAATTTAATAATGTAGTCCACACACAAGTTGCCTTAGCTACAACTCTCTTGACTAGAAAAATATATATATATTGATTTCTTTTAATACAAAAGAGCTCAATAATAGAGGTTCCCCCCCCCCCCCCCACATTCTTTTTTTTTTTTTTAAAATATATATTAAATGGTTGTTTTTTTTTTTTTTTTTTTTTTTTTTTAAATATAATTATAAAGTGTGTTTTTTTTTTGGTTTTTTTTTTTTTGTTATTATTTAATGAGGTTTTTATGTGTTTGTTTCTTTTTTTTTTTAAATAATTTTTTTTTTTTTAAAAATGGGGGAAGGGGGATTTTCACAATCTTCTTACATAAACTCATAATTAAAGTTTAAAACATATATTGTTTATGTCTCAAAGTAAAAATAAAATTATTTTAATATATAGACCTACATTTCTCGAGTTTGCAGCACCATGAAATAACCAGGACGACATTTTGGAAGGGCATGGTGGAGCATTTGACACCCCCTCCCCTGAATTTGCAGATCTTATTNAAAAAAAAAAACATGAAATGACGCCCCAGCTAAGTGACTGGAACAACTTAGATAAATTCTAGTCTAATAAAGCCAAAAAAACGTGACTATTATAGACATTAGTGCTTGTAAAGCATTGTACCTTAGGCAGCTTGTCAAGCCTAAAAAAAGTTTACTTTATATTCAGATGCATAGGTAGAATCATTAACTTTTTATAAATTTATTGACTTATCAATATCTCAATTTGCATGCGGACGAACTTTCTATGAATTTTTTTTTTTCATGCATTGATACCAAATTTATCTGGAAACGAATTTGAAGCATTTATTCTGATGAACTATGACCCCGACATTAAATCTTACCCGTGACGGTAGTAAGTAATTGCTTACCTGGCAAGTCATGACGTGTAATATTTTCAAATACCTATGATCAGTTTCACGGTGATAGATTTTGTAATCCCCCCCTCCCCCCCGCTTGTATTTTTCCCCCTACATTTCTGTCTTTTTATTTAACTCACGAGACTTTGTTCGTGGGTTGCTGGCAGAAAAAAATATCGTCGGAAGCCTAAGTGACCCACTTCCCAAAGCCGGGCTTAGGTAAACTCTCGCTCTGTGCCCAGCACCCGTTCGGCGCCACCTTCCTTGTCCCTATGTGGCTCCGCTCTATTTCCGATTACGACGTAGGCTATGGAGCCCGTGTTATGGTGCTTTACATGTAGCTAAACATACGCATTTTAACATGCACATTAATTTAGATTATTTTAGACTGTTTAGTTGGTTGGGTACTTTTTCTGCTTTGCGCTTGCGATTTTGCGCCTCCGAAAGCTTTGTGTTCCCCATATTCCCTGTGCTGAAATAATTGTAAGAGGGACAAGGAAATACGATATTAATTAATTAATTTCCACGCCCTTTCGGTTGGTCCCAACCCCAGTGTTAGTATCCAAATTAAGAATGCAACGTTCATCGTATGAAAACTCATTGTATGAAAAGCGATTGTACGAAAAGTTAAAATACCGTTTCTCGACCCCGGGCCCGAGGTTCACACTTCACTATAATAAACTAAGGGAATTTAAATATTAACTGGGCGCCCCTATGGCCACCGCGACCTGTGCTCTCCCACGGCGCCCAGTGTGAGAGCACAGGTCGCACACCCTAAGGGCCGGCTCTGCGCTTCCCGTCAACCTATCGAGCTGAAACTTGGCAAATAGGCTCGTTGCCGATGACAACACATTCTTTCATATTTTCAGCCTCACCCCCCCCCAGCTCCAACCCCCCCCCCCCCAAATGAGTGTTTCCTGTTTTTCAAGGGCAAGATAAAATACAATTCCTGATAACTGCGATAAGTATCGCAAGCGAGTTTGGTGCGTATTATTTTCTTTTATTTTTCTGTAATAGGGAAATAAATATCCGTTGTAAAAGCGGCTGGGTCTTAGAATGTTTATATATTTCAGGGACATGAAAAAATGTGTGGTTGCGAATATGTCCATGTTTTTTTTTCAAAATCAGTCCCCCCCCCCCCCCCCCCCCAATTTCTTGATTTTTACATTTTATAAGGGCTTTATACGAAAAACTTTCTTTTTAGGGTTTATTTAATGATTAAATCCTTTATATTAACTTCGCTTTTGTTGGTGACTGGCAAAATATTCGGACGTCTAATTGACCCACTCACCGTCAACCTATTTAGCTCGAGCTTGGCACTTAGTCTCGTTGCTGATGACAACCAATTCTATTACATTTTCAGCCCCACCCCAACCCCTCAAAATATCTGTTTGTTTTTTTCAAAGGGGAAGATGAAGGAAATATGATGCCACTGATTTCACGAAATAAAATTCCCGATAACAGAGCTAAATGAGATTCTTTAAAAAAAAAAAAAATCTCAAGTGCGTTTTGTGAAATTGTTTTGAAATAAATCTGCTGTTTAAAAGTGGGTGGGATCTAGAATATTCATATAGCCCAGGGGCATAAAATAAAATGTGAGGCTGCGAGCCGAGAGGGGGGGGGTGGGAGGCACTAATTGGGATTCTTATAAAGTGAAATGTCAGCCCCATTCTCCCCCCCCCCCCCAAAAAAAAAAAAAAAAAAAAAAAAACTCAAAATTAAATTTTATAAAGGATTTGTAAAAAAAAA